ATTTAGAGTGTTTTACATCACCCCAGAAAGACTCTGTATCCAGTAGTGGTGTCTCATCACTCATCCAACTCACAGCCTTAGCTAACCACCTCATCTGCTTTCTCTGTGTGCAGACTGGCCTCATCTGAGTGGCCCATGGAAATAGAGTCGTACAATCTGTGTGGTGTGTATGTCTCTTACAGTTTTGTTTGCAGAAGCGCCTGAGGAGTTTGAGTGAGTAGGTCGTTTTCCTGCTTCTGCAAGCCCTTTGGGTAGTTGTTTTCTGCTCAGGAAGAGGGAGGCGGATTAGTTGTGAAGTCAAGATGACTTAGCAGGCTCCCGAGATGGAGCCAGTCAGCACCAGCATTTGGAGCTATCCATCTTACAATGACGTGAGGCCAGCCTTCTCCTGCTCTCACTACTTCTTGTGGAGGCTCTCAGATCACTTGGCAGCTGGCTAAGCGATCATCTGGGGGTGGTAGGGAAGACAGTTACTTTGCAAGGCTGCTTGTTTTGTTACAAGATGGACTTTCAGGAAGTTTCCATGTTGAACCAGTTCACCTAAGCCCTGTGTGTGACTTGGCATGGAGCAGAATCCCATGAACCATTGTGGTTTGGCTTCGCCTTTACTCTGCACGTCTTACCTGCTACATAGCACCCGGCAGCAGTCGTCTCCTGTAGTCAGTGTAGGCACCTTGATGGCTCATGTGCTGACCCTGAAGTTAGCCCACTTTTCAGATTACAGAGGGAATTACCAGGTGAGAGGGACCAAAGGTTATGTGTAGGTTATAAAACAAACTTGGCATGACAAAGTTAGAGTAATAACCATCAAAAACCAAATTAAATAAACGCAATCTCATCCTTTGCACTGCTGTGGTCCTCACCTTTATATGTGGTTCTTACCCCCTGGCGAGTAAGGCTGGCACATCCTGTATCCCACAGATACATTCTAAAGTAATAGCTGCATTCTAGAAGGAAAACCTCAAGCGGTAGTCAGAGGGCCCGAGGTAGTTGTCTGTGGCGTGGCCTGGCAGGAAGATGATCAACTTGGCAGGTGAATCCAGGACTGGGGGAAGTGGGCTGTGCTTAGCTGTCGGTGCCCTTTTTGTGGAAGAGTCAGGTAGTTAGTGCTGCCTGGTGGAGCTTCAACTTCAGCATTGCAGAAAGAGAAAAGGAAAGAAAAGAAATCTAAAATGGGTGTCCCAGTTAGGGTTTCTCTTGCTGTGATGAAACACCATTACCAAATCAACTTGGGCAAGAAAGGTCTCATTTGACTTACATCATAGTCCCTCACTGAAGGATGGCCAGGACAGGAGCTCAGACAGGGCAGGGAGCTGGAGGCACGACCTGTTTGCAGAGCCATGCAGGGGTGCTTGCTTACTGGCTTTCTCCTCATGGCTTTCTCAGCCTGCTTTTTTGTTTGTTTGTTTTGTTTTTGTTTTTGTGAGACAGGGTTTCTCTGTGTAGCCCTGGCTGTCCTGGAACTCACTCTGTAGACCAGGCTGGCCTCGAACTCAGAAATCCACCTGCCTCTGCCTCCCAAGTGCTGGGATTAAAGGTGTGCACCACCACTGCCCAGCATCTCAGCCCACTTTCTTATAGAGCCTAGGACTACCAGCTGGGGGCATGCCATTACCCACAATGGGCTGGGCCCTCCCTCATCAATTACTAATTAAGAAAATGTCTTGCAGCCTGATCTTATGGAAGCATCTTCTCAATTAATGGTTCCCTCTCAGATAACTCTAGTATGTCAAGTTGACATAAAACTAGCCAGCACAGGAGGTTAAAAGGTTGGAGAACTGGGAAAAAAAGAAAGAAAGGAAAGGAAAGTCCAGGTGATGGTGGTGCACATGTTTAATCCTAGCACTTGGGATGCAGAGGCAAGCAGATCTCTGTGAGTTCAAGGCCAGCCTGGTGTACAGTGTGAGTCCAGGACAGCCAACACTATACAAAGAAACCCTGTCTCAAAACATAAGCTAGTGTTTATTAGCTTCTGTGTCCAAAAAGCCTGGTGATCAGCACAGTCAGACCTGGAGGCTCAGAGAATCTATCTAGGCTCTTCCTTCCCTCCTCTCATTGCCTGCTTCTTGTCTCTATGTTGGTGTCTTGCTGGGTGGGTTTTATCTTCACAATGGCCGCTGGAAGTCCAGGACACCAAACAAAGGGGTGACAGGCTACCTTTTCTTGGAGTTCCAATCTGGATTCTAGACTCATTTCTGAACCAATCATTGTGGTAGGGATGGGGGATTGTGTTGTAATTTGCCAACCTGAGGTCTGAGTCCCAGCCAGAGGGAGAGCAAGTGGGTTACCAGCACACTGAAGTAGCACTCAGACAGAGACTAAGAGTATGGACCACTGATTCCCAAAAGAACCCCAGAATGGTGTCAGGAGGGATAGATAGTGTGTACAGCCACATGTCTGAGCTTGTTTGGCTAGAATAAGACCTCTGAAGAAGTAAATAACTATTTCTGCTAAAGACTGGAGAAAGAGAGAAAATAGAAATAAATGCTAGCTGGAGAGACATTAGGAAAGGATGGTTTCAGAATCCTAGATAACCATGTTCTGTCCAGCAAATGCCACTTCTGCCACCATTCACTCCAAAGCAATGCTCTGCTCCTCAAAGGAAGCATCTCTGAGTGGGAGCCCAAGTGAAAAGCGGCCACAGTGAAGACTTGCTGTCTGCCCATCCTTCCTCTTTCTTAGTAAACAATTCATTTACCTTTTCCTTAAGCCACACACATATTTCCTAAGCTAGAACGTTCCCTGATTCTACCTGGAACTTCCAAAGACTTCTCAGTCAGTTTACATAGTAGAATGAATTGCGTTCTCTTCCCGTCTCAGCCTGAAATACCACATGAACAGAGCTTCTGCTTGCATGATGTTTGAGCCCACATGCAGAGACTTCCCAGGCTCTTTGGAAATCAGGGATTCTGGGGAAGCTAGAAAAGAGAGTAGGTAGACAGGTCAGCCCTCAGCAGGTGCAGAGTGGAGACAGTGGATGTCATGTAAAGGAGAGGAGATTCACAACCTACGCTATAGAACAGAATTGCAGCCGCTCCTGAAGATGGTCAGGTTAAACAAGAGAGTGCAAACCTGAATAGAAATAATTAGAGATCCCAAAAGTGCTGCTGCTTCTCCTTCAACATCCTTTCTTGACAGCCGCCGCCTCTTCCTCCTCCTCCTTCTCTTCCTCCTCCTCATCCTTCTTCGTTTTGTCCTCATCCTTCCTCTCCCCTCCTTCTTTTTCTTCTCTTTCCCTTTGTGGCTTTTACAACAGTTTCAGTTTGTAGCCCTGGCTGCTATGGAGTCTACTATACGTAGCCTAGACTGGCCTCAAACTCTTGGTCCTTCTGGGTGCTGTGATTACAGGTATAAAGCTCCACATCTGGCTTCTTGAGCCCTTTCTACTCATTCATTCAATGACTCATGAACAAAGTTACTGAACACCTACTGTGTGCTGGCCTGTTTCTAGGTGTTGGGGATACAGCAGGGAATAGAACAAAATCATTGAGTATGCAGTCTGCACTGCAAGGAGAAGAACAAACAACCCATAAGGGAGTATGTGAGCTGAACAGCAATGCTCTGTGCTAAGGAGAAAATGGAGTCGATGGGAGGGTCAAGTGGTGGTTGGCAGAGACTTTAGGAGGTGGGGAGCGAGCCAGCAATCTTCCAGAGGAGAAGGTCCTGCTCTAGCAGCGGAAGTGAGGCCCAGGAACAGCTTCCTATACTAAAAATTAAGAATAACAAACAAAAAAACTAGCTGGGCAGAATTGTTCAGGACAAGGGGGCAAAAAATAGCATATTCAAAGAGGGCTCCTTGGTCCTTCGATTTCAGAGAGAGGGAAGGGGCAAGAAGGAGAGTAGACAGAGGAGGGAATGAGGCTTCTTTAGGGGAAAAGAGAAACCACTGAGGGTTGCCGCACAAGAATGAAGGGGCCTCATTTGTGTTTTTAAACAGTTCCCATCATATGGAGTAGGGGTGGAAGCAGGCAGAACAATTAGAGGATTAGAAAAAGTGGACCTGGCATTGGGACCTGTGAGGCTGAGCTACAAGCAGGGAGACCTCGGGAACATTTCCTTCTTTCCTGGCTGCAGGAGAAATGCACATCCTTCTTTTAGAAGGGGATAACCTTTCCTCTCTGAGCAAGAGGATTTCTAAAGTCTGGAGAGCTGCACGCAGGCTTATTCTCTAAGGTCGATTCTCCCTTCACTGCATCCTGCTGAGGTTGAGTACAGAGCTGGGCTCAGATGTGCTGGCATGTTCGTAGGGTACATACTGTGGAGGCCCTGCATGGACGGCCGAAGGATCCAGGAAATCAGCCGTAAGCTGAGATCTAATACCTGCCATGCCCAGAAGGCTCTGAAAATGGGAAAATTGCTATCACGATCACAGTTTTATAAGAGAAATCAGATTGTAATGACGAGCTATAGCAAAGGCACGAAGCACTACTGTGCTTTGGGCTGAAGTCTGCAGAACATTTCCAGTCATCGAACCCTAGAATCTAAAAATCCCTAGTGGTCCCTTGCTGCTGTGCAAATTCCAGCCATGACTTCCAGTGATCTAGCCTGTGCTGCAGATGTCCATAGCTCATAGATTACAGAATGCCCATGGCAGTACCCTCAGAGCCCTGGCTAGGAATAGCAGATCCAAAGATCAGGGCTCCCAGTCACCACCTTCCACTTACAAAGGCCATCTGTCCAAATAGAGACAGCCTTGGCCTACAGAGGTACAGGTGTAAGTGTGGGCTTAGAGTCAAGGTGTCTTGCCACCAAGCCTGATGGCCTGAGTTCAGTACCCAGGATGCAGGTGGGTGAAAGGACAGAACTGGCTCCTACAGCTTGTCCTCTGATACACACACACACACACACACACACACACACACACACACGAATAGATAAATAAATAAATAAATAGATAAATAAATAAATAAATAAATGTATTCATCCCATCACAGGGAATCTAGACTTACTTGTCTTCCCATCCTAAATAATGAATTCTTTCTTTCTCTTTGGAACCCCAGGGGTTGCCCTTCTCTCAGATGTGTACCCTGAAGAAATCTTGGTTGACCTGTTGGCCAGATACGACAGTGGCAAAGACAAGCACACCCCAGAGACCAGAATGAAAGTTGGGGAGGTCCTGATGCGAGTTGTCAGAGCACTAGGTGAGTTTTGTTTGTTTATTCCATCACTCTGGAGCAGGGCAGTGTGGCACTGCTCTGTCTGCGTACTGGAAGTCTCGTCCTACTGGCTGGCAAGGTGATGGTGACTATCTAGGGATTGAACAGCTACTCAGCTGCTTAGCTTCCCTCCCCAAGAGCTATGCTTTCCTGGGTCTGTGTTGTCACAGTTTGAGTCTTGCCTGCTTTACAGAATGAGTTCAAGGACAACCTGCCCAACTTAATGAGACTTTATCTCAAAAGTTAAAAGAGACATGGGGATGCAGCTCAATGGTACAGTGCTTGCCTAAACTCTGTAAGGTCCTGGGCTCAATCCTTAATATTGCCAAACAAACAAACAAACCAGAAATCATAAAGGGGGCACTGGGGAGGTGGCGCAGACCACACCAGGCAGCCCTGGCTGGAACTTGGGTAGACCAGGATGACCTCAAAGTCACTGAGATCCACCTGCTTCTGCTTCTGCCTCCTAAGTGCTGATGTTAAAGGTGTGTGCCTCTCCTGGCCAGTCATAGCCAGTCATAGCTTTAACTGTCTTGTTCACATCATCATCATCCAACACCTATAATCTAAAAATCTGAAATCCCAAATGGTCCAAAATCTGAGCTTTTTTTAGTATTTGTCATGACGTCATAAGTGGAAATTTCTGTGCCACAAAACTTTTGTTTTATGCAGGGCAGTGGTGGCACATGCCTTTAATCCCAGCACTTGGGAGGCAAAGGCAGGCAGATTTCTGAGTTCGAGGCCAGCCTGGTCTACAGAGTGAGTTCCAGGACAGCCAGAGCTATACAGAGAAACCCTGTCTTGAAAAACCAAAAAAAAAATGTTTTAATAAAATTGTTTTCAGATTATACATACAGTGGTACTAAAAACAGAAATGAATTTTGTATTTATACTTAGGCACCCTGTCATTGTCCTTAGACACACCAGAAGAAGGCATTGGATCCCATTACAGCATTACAGATGGTTGTGAGCCACCATGTGATTGTTGAACTCAGGACCTCTGGAGGAACAGTCAGTGCTCTTAACCACTGAGCCATCTCTCCAGCACCACCCCCCCCCCCGGGGGGTGCTTTTTTGGTTTGGTTTTTCAAGACAGGGTTTCTCTGTGTAGCCCTGGCTGTCCTGGAACTCACTCTGTAGACCAGGCTGGCCTCAAACTCAGAAATCCACCTGCCTCTGCCTCCCAAGTGCTGGGATTAAAGGCATGCGCCACCACCGCCCGGCTTCTCTTTCTGTTTTTAAAACTTGGGCTGGATGTGGTAGCAGAGACAGGCAGATCTCTGTGAGTTCAAGGCCAGCATGGTCCACATAGTAAGTTCCAGGCTAGCCAGGCCTACATAATGAGATGCTCTCAAAAATCAAACTCAAACAAACACAAATAAAACAAAACAAAAATCCCTCAGGGTAGACTGTATAATCAGCAGTGTTTGCAGTACACTGATTTTTATGACACTCGGTATACTTACTACCACTCAAATCAAAATCACCCACTAACCCAAAAAGCTTCCATTTGCCCTTAGTCTGCCTGCCCCAGAGATAAGCAATCTTCTGAACTTTTTTAAAATATCATTTTCAGTTTACTTTGATTGTTTTGAACCTCAATTTAATAGAATTAAGCCCCCTGTTTCTAGTGTGCTGGGAGAGCCGGACACTTGTGAACTAGGTTAAATCTGGAAGTATAAACATACTGTACTTCTTTGTTGCTGTGGATTGAGGAGCACACAGTTGTCAGGTCACCCACTCTCAGTGATGTTGAGCTCACCCTGGTCTTTCCGGGTTCAGGGGTGTGGGGGGTACCTCTCTGTTATGGGCCCATTAACTGCCATGGGTTAACTAGCCGTGGACAAGCTTATTTAGATTTTTTTTTTCTGGTTTTTGGCATTTTTTTATTACTTTATATTTTGAGATCATAATTGTATCATTTTCCCCTTCCCTTTCCTCCCTCCATAACCTCCCATATATGTCCCATATATGTCCCATATACCTTCCATATATCTCCCACATACCTCCCATATACCGTTTTTTCTGTTTTTCAAATTTATGGACCATTTTTTCATTAATTGGTACTGCATGCATATATGTATATTTTTATATACACACACACCATACATACATACATACATACATACATATACATATATGTATTTCTTCTCAGTTTGTATACTGTTACTTGTGTGTATGTAATAGCTGACCACTTGGTATTTGATAATCAATTGGTGTCCTCGTCCCTGGGAAGACTGTTTCCCCGCTCTCAGCATTCCTTAGTTGCCTGTGGTTCTTTGTGGTCTTCCCCTGCCCACTTCTGTGTGTCTGTTGTTGTTCTTGGTCAGCACAGCTTTAGGAAGTCATGTTGCTGAGACTTTATGGGTATAACTACTTCTTCTTCCTCTTCCTCCTCCTCCTCCTTTTTTTAGACAAAAGTCCTGCTTTATAGCCCAGGCTGGCCTTAAACTTGCAGTCTCCTGCTTCAGCTCCTCAGATGCTGAGTTTGAGGATTACAGACATATATCACCATGCCCAGACAGGATTTCATTTGTTAAAGGTTTATTTTTATTATTTTTAACTCTGTGTGTGCAAGTATTTTGGAGTTTAGACACCCTGGACTCCAGGCTCTGGAGTTACAGGTGGGTATGAGCCACCTGATTTGGGTGCTGGGAACTGAACACAGCCAGGTCCTCCGAAAGAGTAGTATGCTGTCTTAGGTAGGCGGATCTCTGTGAGTTCAAGGGCAGCCTGGTCTACAGAGCTAGTTCTAGGGCAGCCAGGGCTACAGAAGAAACTCTGTCTTGAAAAAAAAAAATAAAAGAAAGAAAGGAAGGAAGGAAGGGTGAAAGAGAGAGAGAGAGAGAGAGAGAGAGAAAAGGAGGAGTATGCACTCTTAACTGCTGAGCCATCTCATCAGCCCTACAATTTCATTTTTTTAAGTCTGTGTATTTAAAGATCTTGAGTCATTGATATTTATAGTGTAGATATTTTCTTCTTCTGTTGTTAATATTTTAGTTTTGTTTCTGAAACACAGTTATGATTTTGTTTTGGTGTAAGTATATCTATCCTTCCCTTTATGATTTCATTCATATATATATATATATATGCTTTTTGATATAGAGAACATTGTGGTAGGATTTTGGCTTAGTTTGTCTTTTTAAAGAAACTATTCCAATATTTTTTTTTAAGTTTTAGAAATGTAATCTTAACAAATTGTTAAGTTACCAATCATCCCAAATGTTTTTCCATCTGTTTCCTCTTATGTGGTCCAATGTTGATATTGATAGTAACCTGTGGGCTATTATGTAACATTGCATTAAAAAAAAACCCAACAACTAGGAACATGTAAGACATTAACTGGGTGTGGTGACACACAACCATAGTCCTAACACTAAGAAGGTAGAGCTGGGAGATCTGGAAACCCAGGTATCCTCCTCTACGTGGTGAAGTTGAGGCCAGCTGAGTCTTCAGGAGACCCATTCCGCAGTTGCTTAACAGCTATGTAAACTTCTGAGGGACATCTTTGTATGAATGACATATGCCAAATTTTCTGTTCCTCAACCTAGGGAGCCCTTCTGGTGCCCCAAGTATATGATGACATGTCACACGACCTAAGACACATTTCCAGTTATTAGGCAATATTCATTCCTGGGGGCTGGAAGAATAGCTTAGCAGATAAAAGTATGTGCTGCTCTTCCCAAGGACCTGAGTTCGATTCCCAGCACCCATTATCAGTCAGCTCAGAACTACCTGTAAGTCCAGCACCAGAGGGATCTGATGGCTGTGGCCTCTGTAGTCCCCTGCACTTATTTGTACACACCCCCACTCCCCCCTCCACACCCTGAAACATAATTTAAAAAATAAATCTTTTAAAGAAGTATTCATTCATTTCCATAAAACATCTACAAATTCTCTCACATCTAGGAATTTCTTGCACAGCTGACTTCATGTATTTTCTACCAATCATGTTAGCGCATTTTTCTTTTTGCTATGGGTTGCTGAGGATCAAACCCATGGCCTTGTGCGTTCTAGAAGGGCCCTACTTCTGAATTATACCCTCAGAATGTTGCAGGGATAGCTTTCTGCTACCTGCCTTCAGAGCCTGTGGCCGCCTTTGAAGTAATTCTGTGCTTTACCCTTTGTCTTCCTTCTAATCTCTTTAATGGACAGGAAGCTGAACTACTAAATGGCCCCGTGTTAGGGGTGCATTGGTTTCTCATCATAAGGAATGGGTAAAAATAAAGGTTGGGTTTGTTGTTGTTGTTGTTGCTTTGCTTTGCTTTTAAAATTTTGTTTGGTTGAATTTTGGGGTTTGATGCTGGGATTGAACCTGGGACCTCACATGAGCTAAGCACACACTTGATCACTGAGTCACACTCACTGCTTTTTATTTGTATGTGGCTTCTTTTGAAGTTTGGGTCACAAATATTTGATGCAAAGCTATTAACAATTCTGCCTGCAGTGATATTCAACCACTCTCTGAATTTGAATTTAGTTTTTATCAAGTTTGAAACCACAAATTCCTCATTGTCCTTTCTAATGTTCAGAATTCTTTATCTTGAGTATTTTCCCCACCCACTCCATCTTAGGAACGAGGACATTGTAGTTCAGTTCAGAGACATTTACCGAAGTGAGTGTCACTGTACTCTTAGAACTGAGGACCCTGAAGCAGGGAGTCAGGAGTTTTAGGCCAGCCTGGGCTACATAGAAGATCTGGGGGCAGGAGGGCAGGCAGGGAGGAAAAGAGAGACAGACAGGCACGCAAACTCGGACATTTATTGAGTAGTCACTTAATGGTAGATCTGTGGGCAGCTGGAAGTTGGAGCAGGAGCTTTGAGTTCAGCTAGAGGTGACAGGAAGTGGTGGAGATGACCTGCCATGGCGGTGTGCGCAGACATGCGTTGCTGTTCTCTGGCTTTGTTTTGTTTGTAGCACAGCATGGCTGGTCAGTCTGGGAAAATAACTTTGCTATGGTTCAGAGATTTCTCCCCTCACAGCAG